GTGTGTGTGTGTGTGTGTGTGTGTATGTATCTGTGTGCGTCTATAATCTTGATACATCTTAGCAACCACGTTGTAGTATCCATACTTCAAACATACTCCCTGGAGGCAAGTCCATAGCACATCTGAGCAACCTTTTGTAAAATAACCTTCTCAGCGATGATGATCTCCACGGTAACGTCGACGCCTTTCGTCAGTCTGTGCCTTGTGCTGGGTCTCAGGAAACTGTGGTACGTGCTGAGGGAGACGATGATCCTTACTTCCGCCAGCCCCAGGCCGATACTGCGACTGCGGAAAGTGCGGTACTTGATCATGTCACAGAGAACGATATCTATGGCAATGTTGACACCTTCCGCCAAGTGGCTGCCACTTCTACTATGTCGGGTGTGGGCGACATACCTACCGAGGGTGTCCTGCTGAAAGCGGAGGATATACCTGCTGGGTGTGGCGGTAACCATGGTGATAGCGGTAACCATGGTGACAGTGACCTGTACGGTAATGCTAGTATATTCCTACAAGCTATACCACCTACTACTTCCGGTGTAGCTGACATACCTACGGAGTGTGGCGCAGACCCCTATACCAATGTGGACACACTGCCACTCGTTCCGTCTGGGGAAAGTGCGGTACTTAGTGACGGCCGTACCGAACTGCCGATGAGCACTGCAGGCGTGTCTGTGGTAGAGCCGTCTATGGAGACTACACATACACACAGTGATCACATACCACCAGTCCCTGGTAGTAGCTGTGGGGACGAGGAGAGGGGTGTGGGTAATGGCATGAACGGCAGAGGTACGGCTGGGTGTGGTGCAGAGGCTGCCTACACTAACGCTGCGTCGCTCAGATCCCTTGGGAAGACACCTGCGGACAGGACTATTGGGACACCCTGGGACACGGCCGTTTGTGTGTATGAGGCCCAGTTTGACTTCCACAAGGCGTTGCTATCTGTTCCCGTTCCCTTATCACATAGCGTGGGTGAGGGTTTAAACCCTGGCGATAGACAGGCGAGTGCTGATGAAGCTTGCGATACCACTGGTCGGAGTGCTTCTCTGGGCTGTCCCGTTATCGAGTCCGAGGGTAAAGCGGTAGAGGAACCCAAGACACCTATCGGGGCCTGGTTTGGCGCAGGGCGTGTAGTCGTTTCCATGGCAACCATAGACACTGAGAAAACTGACACAGACAAGGCCTCGGGCACACCAGCCATAGACACAAGCAGCAAGGATGTCAAGACCATCATCGCCACCATCAATCGATACAGTAGCATGGACGTACTCCAATCGCTGCCTGTGCCAATGCCTGGTAGCGGTACAAACAGCCCGCGCAGCGGTAGCCGGGTTGGTAGCTATACGAGGTTGGATGTGCCTACGGTGTGCCTACCTACGAAAGGCGTACCGGTGACGGATTTACCGTCTGGCTCAGCTGGTAGTGCAGGTCTTAATAACAGCACTGTAGTCGGCTGTGTGGGCAAAGGCGAAGGATCTGCCATGGGTATGTGCAAGGACGCTCAAGCAGGAACTGTTACTAGCGTATGTGAGGAAGACACGGCCGAAAACAAGGCCGCTGTGGGTATCACCACAGACTCTGCAGCCCAAGACGTGGCTAAGTGCTCTGCCACCCGACACACAACGAGCACCGTCCACCCTACTCAGATCATCACAATGGTCAATGCACATACGGATATTAGCAACACCACTAACATTGTCCACACCACATCTGTGAGCCCTACCCACGCACAACACACCGCCAAGAACATCACATCGACGGACACGACCAATACAAACAGTGGCAGAACCTTTGCCGATACCCGACCCCTTGGCAAGGATATCCACGCCACCAAAACCGCCCGGAAGGATTATCCCACAGACGCGCTGTCTGTTGGGACTGATGGTAACCATGGCAACCTCGAGCCGGTTGGACTCGCGCATACCACAGAACCTTCTCCTTCTTCTTCGATCTTGCTTGGGAATCCCAGGGTGAAGAAGGACAACGTGAATGTGTGTGCGGTGTCACACACATCTGCAGTACACACACCGCCAGTACCCAGCATGTTGCCACGGTCGATTCCGGCCTTGCCGCCCACCGTGACTATAAATAGTCACCAATCAGAACCCGGCAGCCCGAGCAACATCCACATCATGCCCTTCCCGTCCCTGTGCACTCTGCCTATGGCCACAGTCACTCTACCACCCACACCCAGATTACCAGCCCAGACACCATCGAGTACAAACAGAAAAAGCAGCACCAACAACCCCCTCAATACTATCAAGGCCATGGGGGGTATGAAGAGTCTTCACAAATCCAGCATGCGTCCCAAGAGCACAACTATGACTCTGCCCACGGCACCCCCTGCGCTCAAGTCGTCTGAGGATGTGATGGCCGGTATTGCGGGTGTGTACTGTACTGTGTGGGTATTTCGGGTGTGTACTGTGCTGTGTGTTAGTGGCATGTCCCTCAGATGAGGAGTGTCTCGTAATGCATGTGCACTACAGTACTATATCAGGAATATTTGTTGATTAATTAAACGGCTATAGTTGTACTTTGATTTAATGATATAGTACCCTGTGTTTTATTCATTCGTACTACTTCAGCGCAACATACGTGGACTGTGCTAACATTAGTTGCTTTCTGAATACACACAACTCAATACAGCGATGTCACTGTATGACGGCAATGCCTCCACTGGCTTCCATCCGCCCGCCCAACCTCGTGGCTCAAACGACTGCCCTTCCACGCGCGGGTCACTTACGCGCACGTAGGAGAACGGCATGAGAATGGATATGTGGTAGGTACATATCTGGTGGGTACGCATATGGAGCGTGTTGTGGTGCTCTTCTGTCAGCGATTGGACTTTGATTAACGGAAAGCGTTCCTTGCCTTGGCTATGATCAATCCACCGGCTTCCAGTCATTTATACCTATTACCACCGTTACAGTTGTACGCTAAACATATACAGAACGTATTTGCTTAGGTCTCCTGCTATTCGTCTGTTCGCAGCAGTGATATGTTCACGCCTGCATTGAAGGACGTCAATCTTCCACTTGTATTTAATCATTTCCGTTCGCCTGTTACTTTGTAGATTTTACTCTGGAAACCGGTACTCTCCCAAGCTCAATATGTGTATATTGCACATAAGTATAGTACATACGAAACTTTGATAGCCGTTCGAACACATGTACATTTACACTTCCCGGATTAACGAGCCCATCCGTCATCCCCAACAATCCCTCACTCCTAAGTTCGTGGTTCTTCACGTTTTGATTTCTAGGTGTTATGACTGAACGTCAGGTTGGGCTGAGCAACGCTACTTGCAGAAAATAGCAGTGAAAGTGGACGTCGTAGCGTCACTCACAGACGCCAACATGACAAGGCACGCCGAGGGTTTACCCCTATTCAGGAGATCAAGTACAACGGCATGATACATAAGCAATTCGAACTGAATAAATGTTCCGTTTAAACCCTATCCAAGGGATCAAGTACAGTCATGATATATAAGTAATTCGAATTGAATCTGTGTTTCGTTTAAACCCCTTCCCAGAGACCAAGTACAACCGCATGATACACAAGTAATTCGGACTGAATAAGTGTTTCTTTTAAACCCTATCCCAGAGATCAAGTACAACCGCATGATACACAAATAATTCGGACTGAATAAGCGTTCATTTTCAACCCTATCCTTGAGATCAAGTACAACCGCATGATACACAAATAATTCGGACTGAATAAGTGTTCCTTTTGAACCCTATCCCTGAGATCAAGTACAACCGCATGATACAAAAGTAATTCGGACTGAATAAGTGTTCCTTTTGAGCCCTATCCCAGAGACTTATTACTAAGGCATTGGATATATTGTTATCACAGACGCATCGAATAAATGTTCCGATTTAAAGTGAATGAATGTTCCGTTTAAACCCCAACCAATGCATTAAAGTACAACAGCATGATACATAAGTATTCAACACTACGATTTATTGCAAGGAACGATTGCACCTATCATCGTCAGTTGGAACCACTTAAGCGCTGGAGGAGCTCTGATTGTGTCACAGTACAGACACATCAATTAAATGTTCCGGTTCGAGCCTGTCACATCAACGTGGGAAATACTCCCTTCAATTAACCGATGAAATCAAGTTCGTGAGGGTTTACCGTTGGAATTACCAGTTAAACTATGCAGTGTAGAACTGTACGTTACACTTCGGTTGTGGCAGGAATTATGTCATTGGCAAAACATTATATGAGGTGTACTGCTCGCTCGCTCGTATTTTATGAAGGAGTATCCCAAATTTAATGGGCTTACTTCTATCAGTGTGTGAGTGCATTTAGTCGAGATGCATCGTTCAGAGATCTCCAAGACACTTACGGCATACCTAGTATGTCCTGGTGAGTCCCTACCATAGACTAGCAAATAAAAATAGAGTTCTTAAACAGTGAGTTTATATAGTCCACAATATCGATGAACTGGGGAATAAATTGATGTGGAGAGCAAGATTGTAGTAAATAGGCAGCACGAACCTCCTGGCTCTTGAAGGATTTCAACGTACTGTACAGATAAGAGTGAACTCGCACTATGAAAGCCATATAAATTATAAAAAGTTACTTGCAATATACAATTTATTTATTTTTCGTAGTATATATATATATATATATATATATATATATGTCGTGTAAGGATCGCTATATTTAAG